AAAATTTGCAGTAAATATCCTTAAATTTGCAGTAAATACCCTTAAAAATTTGCAGTAAATATCCTTAAATTTGCAGTAAATACCCTTAAAAATTTGCAGTAAATATCCTTAAATTTGCAGTAAATACCCTTAAAAATTTGCAGTAAATACCCTTAAATTTCCAGTAAAAACCCTTAAAAATTTGCAGTAAATACCCTTAAATTTCCAGTAAAAACCCTTAATTTTGCAGTAAAATATTTGCAGTAAATACCCTTGCATGTACCAAATTACGCACCTGCGCGCGCATGTACGAAAATAGACACCTGCGCGCGCATGTAAAAAAATGAGCACTCTCGCGCGCATGTACGAAAATGGCCACCTGCGCGCGCATGTTCGAAAACGAGCACCTGCGCGTGCATGCACCAAATTACGCGCCTGCGCGCGCATGTACGAAAATGAGCACCTGCGCGTGCATGCACCAAATTACGCACCTGCGCGCGCATGTACGAAAATGGACACCTTCGTGCTCATGTACGAAAATGGACACCTGCGCGCGCATGTACCAAATTACCGCACCTGCGCGCGCATGTACGAAAATGGACACCTGCGCGCGCATGTACCAAATTACGCACCTGCGCGCGCATGTTCGAAAATGATCACCTGCGCGCGCATGTACGAAAATGGGCACCTGCGCGCGCATGTACGAAAATGGACACCTGCGCGCGTATGTATGAAAATGGGCACCTGCGCGCGCATGTACGAAAATGATCACCTGCGCGTGCATGTACGAAAATGGACACCTGCGCGCGCATGTACGAAAATGATCACCTGCGCGTGCATGTACCAAATTACGCACCTGCGCGCGCATGTACCAAATTACGCACCTGCGCGCGCATGTACGAGAATGGACACCTGCGTGCGCATGTACGAAAATGGACACCTGCTCGCGCATGTACGAAAAATACCCTGGTGGCACAGTATACCAAGAATTGACGTGTATGGCTTTTGATAGCATGCAATTTGAATAATAAATAAATTAAGAATACATTGTGTATTTTTCCCTATGGGCCCAAACATCATTCACAATAACAATTGTTGTTTCTTAAATATATTTCTAAAAATAAAGTGACTCTTCAGCCTTATACAACTACTTAAGAATACTTTAGTAGTTTAACAATGAATTTATTTTTGTAAACCAGTGTAGCTCTTAGAATCTATGGGAAAGGTGTAGAGTAGGAATGTAATAAACTGATTTTACATAATTGCTTTAATGATGGAGACCACTGTTAACATCTCACTTGTAACTGAATAGCAAATTACTTCAGACAAATATTTTCTCTTGGTGTAATGGATGTACATATAGCAGAAAGGTTGAGACTTAAATATATAATTAAGATATATTTTGCTAAACACAATTAAAAGTTATTTATTGAATCCATTAACAGCTTCCATTTAAAACGCATGTTTGCATCATTTTGACGCTTCAGTAAATCGTGTACAGTAAAATTTTGTATTTTAGTAATTTGACTTAAAAATTACACAAGCCCCATATTTTTAATGTAGCATATACCCTTTATATAGTGTTATCTAGCTTTTGGCCTTTTTTAAAACAGAAAACACATTGTCATACTATGTTTTTTTGGATGAAAATATATTGAAATACTTACAGTGACATATTGTATAACATTACTACTAACTTGTATATTATAAAAATACAAATGAAATGTCTTGTATTCCTTAAAACTTCCACAAACATGACTGAATGCTCCAAAAAATGGGTCCAGACTCTGATGGAAATGTGAAGTAAAAGTGTTTAAAAAGTGTTAAAAGTATAAAGGTCGATACTAGAAGAAATAATTGTTTGCTTCTGTGTTTTAAGAAAATTAAGTTTAATAACTTATTTCTAAATATTAATAATCTATATACGTATATAATGTATAATAATTGAAAAGTTACTGTATTTTACTAAATACTAGTCTACTAAAACACAGCAAAGACAGGATCACTTTCTAAAGACTAAAGGTCAACTATATATATTATTGGATACGGTTTATTTCCTAATTTTTTATGTTGGTTTCGAGATCGGTCAAATCTGTCGAACCCGTAGAGATTCTTTAGTGAAAATAACAGATAAAATATAAAGTTTTTCGTTAAGAAACGTTTGATAATTATCTGGACATTATAAAGGTTTTGCATGTGAAATCTCAAAATTTTCTGATGCATAAAAATATTTTTAATCTTAAAATGAAAATTACTTTGCATGTTGGATGGGTAACATGTGAAAATAGAAAAAATATGAGAAAAACATTGCTTAACAAATCATAAGAATTAATAAAAAAATTTATATTTTGCGTGTGAAAGCATCGTAATGTTAACTGATAATGTGCCAAATTTCTTTAACATACGCTTACTAATTTAAAAGTTATAGCATGAAAACTATAACAACCACAAAATGGTTACGAAATTGGTCCGATGGACCGAGCCCATGCTGAAAGGGTTAACTCAACAACTAAGCAACAGAATTTTTGTGTCACTTTCAGTCTAAAACAGTTGATTAATATTATAATGGGGAGACCCCAAACAAGTAGATAGAATATTAACCTCTATCAAGACCCAGGTTCAAACCCTGGTCACACCATGGAAATAATCCTTCTCAAGACCTTCCTAAAAATAGCATTAGATTAGCAGACAAAATGCTGATTGTCATTAGTTAATAATAAAGATATTTATAACTAATTACTAATTAGAATTTGATGTTTTCACTGGCTTATTACAAATACCTTTTTCCATATTGCAAACAATAAAAACATAATTGGAATGTTTTGTCTGTTCAACAGCTAATTAAAAAAATCTTTAAAAATGAGTGGTATAACTCAAATCAATAGCTTTTAAGATTTTATCTTACCATCTTCAAATAGTTTTGAAAATCTAAGGAATAAGAAGTTAAAGTCCACATCAATGTTGTGCATTGTCTAATTGATATAAACTTTTTTGTTTTCCTTCAACAAACGTTTCCTCTTGACTGTTAAAAAAAGTAAAAAAAAAAGTCTATTCTTGTGTTATACATCTTCATTTTTATCAATATTCTACGCTATTGCAAAAATTGTGTTTATGTCGGGTGAACTAAATGTTGTCTTAAAAGTTAACTTATTTCAGATTTCATTCAAAGCTATGCGAGATATCTTCACTAGATAAGCTTTTATTTGAGAAGTATAGAGCATAGGGCTGAAAACAAGTACTTATGTCGATCATAGGGCTGAACACAAGAGTTTATATCAGTCATCTTGTGACACTGTCTCGTAGAGCATAGGGCTGAACACAAGAGTTTATGTCAGTTATCTTGTGACATTGTATCCTGGAAAGTGCAACTCTTCTGACACTGAATTAAATCTGATTCTGTCGTACAGTACATCTTAATCTCTTATACTAACACATGATACAGTTTACATTTATCTTCAATCCCTTCTATTAAAAAAGCAGAATCAATGAAAATCCCAACATAAATATTTAGGCATTTCTTGAAAAGCTCAAGCTTCTAACAACAAAATGCAACTTATCACGTAATATGTTTCTTGCATACCACCAAAAATAAGGGTACATTTTAATTGTTGTTCAATAATTTTGTTCTTAAGAGTAGCAAGTAAGTTTAAATTTGGGTTAACATTAAATAACATGGCCATCAGATACAGGAAGCAAGTCTGTCTAACTCTGGGTTAACAAGCAATAGCTTGGTTCTGTGAGGCAGTAAAAGTCAAATTTTAGTTTGATGTTTAATATATAGCTTGGCCCTCAGAGGCAGCAAGCATATCAGGTCTAAGTCTGGATTGACATTCAGTAACATGGTTCTAAGAGTCAGGTCTGAGTAATCCTATACCTTGTGATTAGTTCATCAAACAAACTTCAGTTCTTTGTTAGATACATATATATATATATATATGACTCATCAAAATGCTACATTAAAAACCATTAATTTATTGTTTCCACAAATAATGTGTCAAAAATTAAAACTGTTTCAAGTAGGCAATAATATTTTACTGTTTACTATCATGAAAAAGTAGTACCAATAAGTCCATCAATAAACACCTATATGGTGCTTTCAAACTTGTGTAAATGGAATACCACTTACAATATTTTTCTTATTCTGCAACCAGGGGGGCACTACATAAAGAAATAGCTTGAATTAGCAAAATGTACATAATAAATGATTGATTGCCATTCTTTCAAAACTATTTAGTTTTAGTATACCATAAATAGTTTACAATAAGCTTAATCAAGAATTGTTTTCTTAATAAGCACAAAGCTACACAATGAGTTATCTATGCTGTGACCACAACAGGTGTGTTATAAGCCTTCATACTTACTACTGAGCCATTGAGCATTTAGTATTACATCTTTAATATATTAAAGTATCCCCCAAAGCAGGTATTAATACTTTTTTTATGCAGTTCTTCCTATAGTTATGGGTTATGAAACATACACCCCTCAAATTATTACTAAAATGATAAAAGTATATATTAAAATAAAGTGAACACTGGATAGCATAATTGGCATTCTTGTGTTTAAAATATTTTTATGACCAGTGCTTTATACGTTCAGCTATGATGATTGAAAAACCTAACTTTACAGATGGTAGAGTACTAGACTAGTCATAATATCTATAAAAATTCTGTAAATGTAAGCAAGCTGCATTGGTTAGTGTTCCTAAAAACTTCTGACCCTTTGCTTTCTTTTCTGCAGTGTTAAAAAGTATTAACCATTTATGCATAACATTAAATTTTTGTTTTCTTTTATTTAATTATGTGAATCATAACAACAGACTGAGACTAGGAATTGACATAATTTAACATTTTAATTTATTTTTCTTCCAACATCACTGATTCTTATCAAAACAGTGGAAAAAAACAACAACTTCATTTCTGGATATCATTCAACAAACCATATTAGCTTCCAAGTTCTGTACCAAATCCATGATGCTACTGCAGAACAACAACAAGACCAACAGATGGTTCAAAGTCACAGAAACTAAACTTCTGTTACAAGACAGGAGGCTGCAGCAAATGACGAACAATGGGCTTTCCAACCGTTGACACGTTTCTAGCTTCTGCTCACTGAATAGTCAAGAAACATCTTTTCCTCCTGGAGAGGACAGGAAAATTCAAAACTGCTTTATGAAACATGATAAAGAAGAGAAGTTTCATATTCTACCACTATGCAGGTATCAAATGGTTCACTTAAAAAAATAGTTTGTATGGAATATTGTAAACATAATTCCAGGGTTAACTTAAAGTCTTGAAGCTACTTCTCTTCTCACGTTGCTGAGGAGGAGGCCGCAACTGAAACTTGCTTGTTTTGATTTTTAGCAGGGCAGTTTGGGCTGCTGTATTAGATTCAAATATTGCCAATACCCGATATTTAGTCTTGGTGATATTATCATTCCCCAATGGCCTTGATTTACTACTGTCATTACAAACAAACTCTATCTTGGCCCCTAGTGCAGTCACTGGCTCTAAATATCTTTCTATATCATAACGTTTCATTCCATCTGGCAGACCTTCTACTTCAAGAAACTGTGAACCTTGATAAAAAAAAAGATTAAATATATATCTTTATAAATATACATAAATGCAGCACTATAGAATAAAGAATAAATCAAAAACATGATTAACAAAAATGTTATGATTTAAAATTAGCTTGTTTAACTCCCTTACATCTGTTAATGCACTTACATAACTTTTTACTCATATCAGCTGGGTGGTGAAGGATGTATATCTGTAAGTGAATATAAATCTTTAAATGTCTTTTATGATTCTTCTACTCTATCAGTTAAGTGGTGAATGGCATAGGTTGGTTGGTGTGGTTTATGGTTTTTTTTTTACTCCTTCAGCCTGTTGTTTTAGATGCTTTAAAAGTATTGGTAAACCAGAAATTAATGATCATCCTCCTAATTGTTAAAAAATTCTACTATAAACTAACATTGTCTGTCTTCGTAAAAATGAGGTTAATGTTTAAAAATGTTCACTTACTGGGATTTTGTGCAATTTAATATTTATTTGTCTGTAAATAAATGTTTTTTTTGTTTCCACAAACCTACAGTTATTCTTAGAACTTATGAATGAAAGCAAAAAAAAAATATATGTCAATCACACTACATCTGCCATATCCAATACCAACGAGGCCTTTCGTTCAATACCAGGACTCATCAGGCTGCCTAGGATATCACAGGCATAGTACTGGTCTAGGTGCTTATTATATATATATATTGAACTTTCATAAACAATGACTGCTATAGTGTGAACCAAATTAAGTAAGTAAACTGTAATTATTATCAATTTAATGATTAACAAATCAGATCTTTAGGGTAAGATTAATAACGTAATCTTATTTTGTTATACAAGGACCTTTTCAGATGTATTTGACTGTAACTATGCAATTTATTTTTAATTCATAAAAGTCTCTCACTACAATTTAAGTTCCTCCATACATAAATTATGAGTGAAATGCAACAGTTTTACCTGTTACACTAAATTTAGTTTCTCTATAACACTAGTTCTCAAACTTTGTCAACGTAAGCCTCCCTAAGCCGAATAAAAAAAAATACAGCAACTCCACGTCTCCATAGTTTATGATTTGGGATATTACATGAGAAAACCGTAAGTATGATCTGTTACGGTTGCTAACAACTGCCACCTGACAAGATCAACAACAGTTATTTGGGTTATTTTTAAATCACCAAACCTTTTTTAAAAGTAAAGCTGACACGCAACTTCCACCTCCCATCCCACAGTTTGAAAACAAATTCTCTATAGTTAAAGGGTTGCTGAAACTATGTAATCTACCCGATCTTTCTTGAGTAAAGGGTTGCTGAAACTATGTAATCTACCCGATCTTGTTTGAGTAAAGGATTGTTATTTTAAACTTACTTCCATTGTCAATAACAGACTGTGGATTGTCACTAGAGCCTACACTTCTATTTGAAGATACATTTCCACCTCGACTTCGCTGCCTATGAACTTTGGGTTGTCTGCTTACTGTTGATGTGTGGCTTGAAGCGACGTGAGGGAATCGTACTATAGGATGCGCTGACTGAAACATCAGGGGGTTGACTTGGTGATGCAGAGGCAATCCTATGAGAGAGAAAGGATAATTGTTTACAGAAAGATTAACTTTTCTATTATCTACAAGACATATATACGAGAAGGTTATTAGATTTCCAAGCTATCTCAAGGTAGAATAACAAATGCACATATCAAAAACACTAAAATTTTAGCTTGTCTGACAGAAATTACTAAACCTATGTATTTTTTATTTTATTGTAGGCAATGTCCATTTATGCATTTAAAAGAGTGATCTGATGTAAACAAGCAGATTTCCAAGTTTATCCAATATGCCCAACTTCTATGAAAAATATAAAGCACTGAAACACAGTTCGTTCTAACATTCTAAAAAAACAAAAAAGTTTCCTGAAAAGGCTACAGCTACCTATAATGACAAGAAACTCCAAAAGAAAGGATCACACAGAGTTTTTTAAAACAAAGTTAAGTGCAAGCTGACCTACTTGGTAATTGCAAGGGGACTAGAGAAAGCCAGATGTAAATATTACAGAACCAATTCATGTAACAAAACCTGTAGAACCTAAGGATCATTGATAAGAAGGAACAAGTGTGAGCTGACCTCCTACTTGGTAATTGCAAGGGGACTAGAGAAAGCCACATGTAAAAATTACAGAACCAATTCATGTAACAAAACCTGTAGAACCCAAGGATCATTGCCAAGAAGGGATCATTGTGAGCTGACCTCCTACTTGGTAAATGCAAAGGGACTAGAATAGACCACATGTTAACCCAAGGATCACTGACAAGAAGAAACCACTGTGAGCTGACCTCCTACTTGGTAATTGAAAGGGGACTAGAGTAGGCCACATGTAAAAATCACAGAACCAATCCATGTAACAACCTTTGGAACCCAAGGATCACTGACAAGAAGGAACCACTGTGAGCTGACCTCCTACTTGGTAATTGAAAGGGGACTAGAGTAGACCACATATAAAAATCAAAAACATCCAAGAAAATCAACCTTTCAAATTCAATGGGAATTACTGAGAAACAAAAAAAGAAGTAAGGGAAGAACAATCCATTATCTCCCTCTGTACAAAATACAACAAAAAAATAAAGACTGATGTGCACATTCTAATGGACTGAATATAAGAAAGTTTTTGGTGCCACAATGAATAAGATTGACAGTGTGTAGTACACCCCTATTGGCTAATGCCTGACATAATTTTATGCCATACAATGAACATCTGGAACTGTGTGAAGGTAATTAAAGATAATTTATTTTTCTGTACATGCCACTACAATGCAATCTGCATGAAACATAAGAAGTGAAACTATTTATATTTAAGAAAAGAACACAAGCTATTCTTGTATTGGAAAAGTGATGACTGAATTACATAAATACTTAAATAAATTTAAATTAACAATAAGCCTTCAAGACCAAAGTAAAACTAATATCAAATCTTATTATAATGGACAAAAAAAGTTCACATCTATCTATCAATCTATTTATCTATTTGGAGTTATTTTGACATAATTACAATAGCATTGAATGAAGTTTCATTTGAAAGATAATTTTTCCCTATATGTGTGATCAAAAGACAAATTTTAAATTGCTTTTCAGCTCAGTTGCAGTATACTACTTTGGACAGTTGTGTCACAGACCTCCCATTAATAGGACAAATAGGATTTTCTAGTACGTATCAACAGAGAAGCCATGAACAAAATTATTCAACAGTTTTTTTTATACTATAGTTGGCCCTTCTATCCATGGGACAGACAAACAACCAATGAATTAAATTATTCCCCAGATTTTCTATACTAACTACAAGAAGTCAACAACTCATTTTTATGATTTTTTTTTTAAATTGAGAACAAAAAAAAACACTAGTTATATGGTATAGAATTCTTTATGCAGATGAAATGTGATCTACAGACTGTGATTTATGTGGCATTACATCACATCCAGGCTGATAATAACTTTTTAACAAATCCTATACAGTTTCCAGTAAAAATAAACTGCACCCATTTTCTGCTTCCTCCCAGTGATGACACATTTTTGCTCAATACCAGAGCTCAACAGGTCTACAAGTATTTACATAAACTTACAAAACTCAGTGCTAGCAATTAATACTTAGACTAAAGTAGAAAGAAAGATGTATGAGTACAAATGAGTTTGATTTGTTAGAAACTAAAATATCCCATAACTATTAGATTATATATATTTATTTTGAAACTTAAGCAAGATCAAATGATGAATTCAACAATTAAGTCTCAAGAGTGTATATTTTTTTTTAAAAGCTCAAAAATTAAGGAAGGAAAAATATGTACGAATATGTGATGAGTAGTTTTTTTTGTGATACAAATTATGTTCCTCCTCCAAAAAATGAAATATTTAGAGACTTGTAAAAACAAATTAGTAATTTCTGACTCACGGCTGATGCAAGTTCTTATGAGAATTGAAGTAGAAATTCAAAGCTTTGTCAAACTGCATTACGCTCATTTTTAGGCAACAGATAAATAAAGACAAAAAAAAGCATGATACTAAAATAAATCATGTACCCTGTACAAGTGGAGCTCCTTTTCTGTAAACTGAACTACGAGACACCATTTCTTGATGAAATGGTACAGTCTTATTTACCAAATTTCCATCATGCCGAACAGAACCTTGAAAAGGATTGAAAATTACATACAAGTTTATGCATGCAAAGAAATTATGAGAACTTTTCATTATTCATAAATTATGATATACAGAAATTGCAGTTCTTTTAAACAGTTTTCATTTGCTCTTACATTTTCTGACATCTGATGTTTAATTTCTTTTTAGTCTCTAACCCAATACTGCCTAAATCGCAATGTTCAATCATAAGTCTTTTTCTATCTTCTGGCAAAAAAATTACTTCACATTTTCAAAAATAAATTAAACCATTGTTAGTTTTTTAGTTAGATACACTAAGCTAAATTTGTAAGAATATAAACAAATATTTAGCAAACAATAAGACTCGAATGAACCAGGTATTGTTAAAACATTTTTTTAAAAATTACATCAGATGATAGTACCAGTAACTAAGTTACAAAAATTTTATAATCTCAATTAAAAATCACCTACTCAGCTAACATTCGAAGTTAGCCAACAATAAATGAAGAAGAAATATCTTATATGCACTTAGAAAATACAGCTCTTTAATATTGTAAAACAAATGTACACAGAATTAGTTATGCTTAATTACAGGAAAAAAAAAAAAGGTTACGTTGATAATTATGTGAAACTTTGGACATTTAAAATGTTTATGATTCTAAGCTGATTATGATAATCATAACACTATTATTTTTCTTCTACAAGTGTATAGTTTCCATAAAGCTGAAATAGTTCATGTAACAAATCTTAAAGCTGTAGAATCACCGGGTGTTCATAATATTGGTAACATATTATTATACAAATCATTTTTTCACCTCACTTTAACCCTACTTTTTCTTATATTACAAACATATAATTTCATTACTACTGAGATAATTCAGGTAAAGAATCTTATAACTGTAAAAATCAGCAGATGTCATTAGATTTGTTAATACTATAAAAAGGTGTTTTTCATTTTACTTTAACACTTACTTTTTTTTTTTACTAGTATATACTTTCCTTGATACTGAACTGATTCATGTAACGAGTCTTGGCTCTTTGAAGATGTACAAAATGAAATGGTGTAGAGAAAAATTTTAGCTAAACAGTAATGAGTAAGTTCATTTTAAAAATTGAACTGAAAAATTCCCATCAGCTCTTGTGCTATCAAGTGTGTGGGATTCTGAGATTTAGTAATCTTGAATATACTTTAACTCTTTTAAAGACACCTTTATTTATGATGACTAGTAGATTAAAAATGTACTTCCAGGTCTCCCTGCCCACTTTTAAGAAAAAAATGTGTGTAACATGCAATTACACATTTTTATAGGCTCACTGGCCAGAAAAATATAAGCTTTTCTTAGAGGATTTCTGACTAATTTCTTTGGTACAAACCCAAATTTTCCAACCTGAACTACTCATAACATCAGAATATTATTGGGACCAAAGAGTATACTTTTCAATCTATCAGGCTTTGGTTAGAGGGCTTGTTTACCATTACAGTGGAAAACATTATTCTCCAAAGTCCTGTTTTTAACATATTTAAAAACAAAACAAAAATATATATAAACGTGTGAATCAGATTTGAAAAATAGAAGTTTATAGGACATTTTCACATACACACAATAAAAAACAAGATCACTTTCAAAATACATGCTGTAATAGGTTTTTATAGGTTCATAGGGAGGCTGTACTTCACTTAATCCAACTGTGATTATATTAAATTCAAATTGCATGTACATATATATGAAAATATGTAGCTAAATGTGATACTTCACTGCAACTAGATTTCAAGAAAATAACTGAGCCAGTTCGTGTTAACTTAAGTGAGCCAGTTCATGATAACTTAAGTGAGCCAGTTTGTGTTAACTTAAAAGACTAGTTAGCCAATTCATGGTAACTTAAGTGAGCCAGTTCATGGTAACTTAAGTGAGCCAGTTCATGGTAACTTAAAAGACTAGACTTGGTTTTTTCTACACCATCACATAATAAAAAAACAATGTTAATTAAGTCCAGCAGTTCTTTCCACATACAATTTTAAAGACTGGCTTTACAGCACAATATATATAGAATGTCTTTTGTACCTAAGTTTTGTTCAGACTGCTCCCTACAACCAGTTTCCACAGATTTGCTATTAAGTGTGTTGGAAAGGCCTTTACCAAAATTTGGTTGAGAGGAGGGGTATTGAAGAGGAAAAACTCCTTGTGGAGGTGGGGTATTGTTTCTGGCACTCCTGCCAACAGGAAATCCTGGGCGAAATGATGCAAAAGTAGACAAAAAGCTAGAGGCAAATCCTGCACAGGAAGAAAGATTAGATGAGTTTGGAGTTAAGCCTGTGGGAGTAGGAGGATGAATTTGTGATTGTGGAGACAAAACTGTGTATCCCATGAGGGGAACAGAGGGAACTGGAGTCCCATGAGACCCATTCTGAGAAGGTGGAGTTTGAGGACGAAAATTTGAAAACTGTGGAAAACCCCCTCCACCTGAAAACTGTGGCAATGGAGACTGGCTAACTGGAGTAGCAGATCCATTAGGTGTTACCATACAGAAGGGCATGGTGCCAACAGGAGAGGGCACTGGCAAAGGAGTCATGAACTCTGGGCTCTGACTAGCTTGAGTAGTGGTCCCACTTGGCATACTAGTAACAAGCATACTACCATATGGATATATATGACAAGGATGAGTAGCAGAAGGACATGAAGAGGCAGTGGTGATTGTCACTGTTGAACTGCCACCGTGTCTAGATGTGAAGTTTGGAGTTCCACCAACACCAGCATTGTTGCATGTGATGTTGAAACCTGGGTAATGTCCAACAAAATGCTGGCCTAAAGAGTAAGAAAATTTTATAAATACACAAACCCTTGTCAGGAAACTATGACAAAACTTTACCACAATCAGTATCATAACAAGTAACATAACTAGGCTCCAAAAAGCAGTGGATATCAATTTAGAAATACAGATAATACTTAGAAGAAAAGATAATAATATATAATCAACATAAATAATGTTAATGACAGAGCATAAATTTCAATATTTTACAATCGAAGTAACATTTAATTGAAAATAACATCAAATTAATAACAAGGGTGTTAAGTGACTGGAAATATTATCACAGAACATAACCCTAAAACATACAAATATTACAATACCCAAAATTGTCAAATTTTGTTGAATATTTAAAAATATATCATTTTAATTATATCAAAGCTACTTTTATACAAATATAGCATCTTGAAATACTTGTACCAACTGTCTCTTTTGGTTTTCTTTTACAGATGATTAAAAAACTTTATGTTACAACAACTATATACCACAATTCACAGTTTCTAAGTGAAGAACAAAGGTGTGTTAAGTTTTTCTTGATAGCTTGAAAAAAATCAAACAAACATGGGCTTATATTTTTTTTTTCCTCCAGAAACATTACTTTGCATAGATCAGATAACTACAGTAATAATTTTTACTGATATACCAGGTATCAGTGAACCTGTAGTCTGATGCCCCATCACCTCTCCAAATGGCTGGTGAGCATTTCCCATACTCTCAATACCTGGTGACAAAGTCTGTTGTGGACCAGATGGAATCATGGATGGTGAAGCACAAACATATTTAACCGAGGCTCCTGATGGTTGCTGCACGAAGTACAAAGGTGCTTGAAGCTGAAGTAGAAATGTTACAATTATTCTATTCCTGCTATATCACTAGGAACTAGAACTATTGAAATGAACTCCCATTCTTTTTAAGTGTAAATTACAAAATTACCAAATTAAATTGTGATACCACAGTTGAGCAACAGATTACATTTTCAGTAAAGGCCAGCAAGTTGTTGGAATGTTCAGAGGTATGAAACTGATACTGTGAAAGATTGAGGCCTTTAAATCAAAACAAGTATGAAATAAATTTCACATCTATTAGCATTCCAATAGCGTGCCCAACAAAAAGAAATTCTGTCATTAACTGTGAAAGACACCCTTAATGCTTTACTTGTTGAAGTCTGAATTTAAAATCAGTTGACCAATCAAGTTTTCAAACTATTCATTATCAGTCAACTCAACAACAACAAAGAAAAAACCAGCAATATTACTATAGTGTTCAATACAATTTAAAAAAAGAATAAATTTCTAAAATTAAACAAATGCCACTTTTTAAATCCAGTCAAGAAAATAGAATCTAGAAATAACTCATTCTGCATCTATTAGGGCTTTCACTACAACAGTAAATATCACTAAAAGCATGAGTAATGCAATATTTTATGAAAACTATTGTTAGATGCATTGGTAAAAAAGATATATATATATACAGCCCCTAAACTTTGGACCGATACTATGAAATTACAAAAATGATAATATATTTTTTATATATAATTTGGTGTATTTAAACAAAATAAAAATAAAAACAACATTGACCAGATTTTTGATTTTGGCCAAAGGAATTTTTTCATGATTTGCTTAAACAAGTTCTTGAAATGAATATAAAACAAACGAAAATTGGCCAAATTGTTCAATATTAATTACTCAATACAATGAAGCATCATGCCTGTATGCAATTATGAAGAACTGAAATATATTATTCAAATGAACTAGATTTAAAAAAATATAACTGCTGTGTTAAATGTACAGAAAAAATGATACAGACAGATATACAGTCTCAAACCTACCTGTTGTTGTTGGTTGTGTAAATTTATAGGGTTTGGAAGTTTGGAAGCTTGGACAAGGTAATTCTGTAGGCCTAAAGAAGTGGGTGGTGGTGCATCTATTCCAGGGTTTCCACCTAGTGGGTTTGCAGGGCCTGGTTCAGACACATGCATTTGACTTGGTGGCCGAAAATGGGCAAAACTTAGATTTGACATTTGTGCTGTTAAGTCTTGTATCTTGATAGCACCAAAGTCCTGAGACTTTTAAAGATAACAGAAAAAGCAAGACTTACTACTACACACCATCAAGGTGATATAATACTGACATTCTTATTATAAAGTTACAAAAGCCTTTCAGAAATAGAAATATCCTACGAACAGTATATATTTTGAGTGATGACTGTAAACAAAATGTTTCTGTAACAGGAAATGATTATATGGGTTTAGTAAAAGATACTTAGATCTGTTACATTGTCAGATATTCCATGTCATAAAGTAGTGTTACATCCTTATGTGCATTTATAAGCAAATCGTAGTAATGCTTAATACAAAATAATGTCTATGAATAGAAAGCATGATATCCTTTTACTCATCATAATTTCAAAACAACATATTATAAGAAGCTTAAACTTAACACTTAAGTTTATATTGCACAAGCAAAAGAACCCATTCCCAGTGACAGGAAAAGTTTAATTTAATCTATCAACTTACATTATTTCATGGACTTTGAAAAGGCTAATTTGTTGCACTTTTATACCGCTTACTGTGAAAAGTATTGTTGAGCATTTCAGTCATGCTAAAAATCGCTCAACAATTACATACAGTAAATCTGCATTTTTATTCTTTAAGTTGCATCACATTTTGAAATGTGAATGATAGTGTGATTAATTCCTAACAATTGAATGTAGAATATCCTGCTTGCAAAATAAAATTTGGCATCAACATTATTTATGTTCACCAGTCATTTCAAAAGTGAACGTTGAGCTTTGCCTGCGTGCACATCTTTTCAAACGGGAGACTGACAAACATTTGGACAGACACCATGGTTTGCAATATATATAAGATTAGTTCCAAGGTCTGTACAGACATACAGGGGTTGTGCAAAAAATTTGAAACACACAGTGTTAGTAGCTTAATAATGTATGGTTCCATCTTTGGTTGTTAGAACTGCTTTAATTCTTTACAGCAGATCATCCTGCATGTTCCTGAAAAGTATGTTGAGGATTTTTTCTCCGAGGATATAAGATACAACTTAACATGAAGCCCACACATGATTTTTCAACCACGGGTACATATACCTGATGAAACTTGTAGAATAATTACCATGTTTTAATAATCCGCTGATAGTCTTTTTTTTGAAAAGCGTGGGCTATCTGCACTAAAATTTTGGTTCTAATTTACAAAAAAAAAAAAAAAAAATCAAAGAAGGTAATGTAAAATACATTAGAAAGTAGAAAATAAAATACCTTCCAAAGAAGTTTTTCTTTCTGTAACCAAGAAGTTTTGCACGTTGGATCACTAACACACTATTAACTGGGCTCATACAATCTGTTGGAAATCAGTTATGTGACGCTAACATGAAATGGAGCTTACATGTAGTTAAATAATATATATCACCTGTCGATGAGGTTATTGGGGTAACAAATTAATCAGTTAGCTGAAGATCTAGCCTATTTAATATCTGATGTTTTTATGTAATTGTCCAATCCCTGTACATTTGCAAGAGTTGCAAGAAAGCTAAGTTTTTTTTTTTTAATAACATTAATAATACAAAAGTACAGAGAGACTACTTAGGTAGGTCACAAGAGTAAAGAACAATTTTGTTATCATCTTAATTACCAAGGTTTTTACATGAACATATATTTGAATGAGGTACGAAAACTTTAAAACTTCATATACAACTAGAAAGGTTAAAGAAAATTCTTCCAAGCTTCTATATCAGGGAGAGATAATTTTTTGTGGAGGCAGGTTTCTACAGACTAGAGAAGTTGAATTTAAAAAAACCTTTTTTTAAAACCATATTGACTAGAAGATTTGGTAAACAAAATTCTTGGGTGTATGGTCGAGTTTAATTCAAGATTCAGTGTTTTTTTTTAACATTACTGTAAACATTAGAGTGGTAACATAACTTATTTGCAGATATATTTAAGTTGGTAATTCAATTACATCATCATCATCAGAGGCCTTCTAAACATACTTTATCTCCATCTATCTCAGTAAACAGACTATTGTTATAGTGAGAATTTATTATAACTTTAGAAAAATAAAACTGTCAAATGTTTCATTCTACTTATTAAACAAACTAAATATTATTATTCTAATCTGACACACAAATCAAAAATAAACTAAAAAAACAAAGCTTTTGAAGTGAATTGTCTATAAAAACTTAATTTTGAAGTGGTTGATTAGCTAAGCAAAATGTCCAAAAAATAAAAATACCAAAGGATTACCATATTTAGAGGCCTGTGGTCTGGAATCACCTGTCCTGCAGATGGTGGAGGTTGATGCATCTGCTGAGGAATATAAGGTATGTACACAAAAGCAGGGCTTGGAGAAAACACTGTAACCTGTTGCTGTACATGTGACAAGGTTGAGGAAGGATGTGACGGTCCATGCTGGTTGCTAATATTTGATGGTGTTACCGTCATGTGCTGACTCCCAGGTAGAGAAGCCGAATTAAGTCTGTACATGGATCCATCAGGATTGATATAGGGAGTTCCTGAAATGCACCACGTCATTGCATGTTAGAAACTAATGTCTTAGTAAACAACCATTCAAATATAGATTAATAAATTCAGAAGCTACTTTGTGCTAGAAAAATACGCTACTTACTGAATGGGCTTATGTAATGAAAAAACTGTTAAAGAACAATGTATGAAATGCGTTAAGAAACAGATAAGAACTGTTTGATAACAATTTTAGTTATATAACCAGGTTAAATTTTACATCAGAAGAAAAAACAAAGGAAGCTAATAGAAACTTTATTGCAAGAATTCCTAGCCACCAAATCTTGGCAAGTCAGCTGTAATAAACTTTGTTTAACAGGAAAAATGAAAAACTTTCAGGATTTGCCCTTTCTTAAATCACCGTGAAAGTCTACAAACAGTACAAGTCAGTGGAAACAAACAAAAAAAAAACTAATGGACAAAACTGTTTGAAAGTTTACATGAACATCCTACAGATAATGTAGATTCTGTAAAATATCTTATCTTTATTTGATATTTGTATGAATTCTCATCTTTGGAAATGATTTTTTTTAAGAAACAGTTAAAAATGCTTGCCTTTGTTGCAGAGTTCAGTAGCTAATTTTTGCCTTCCTACATTGTTGAATTAAAAGTTTTCCAGTAAAGTAATGCAAAAAACTACAAGCTTTTATTTCATTTTGATTTAAAAAACACTGCATACAGTTTCACTATGTTTATAATTAATGATTTACAACAATAATAATTTTTGTACTATAGCAAAATTAGAAGCAAGCCAAACTGTTTAAATTGTCAACCAGAAGGCCTCACTACCATATTATTTAATAAGTTTTAAACCTGTTTCATATTCATCTGTACATTTTTTTTTACACTTTTTTTAATTATTTTCTTCACCCATTCAAAAAGTTTATTAGGCCTATAAAATCTAATGTAAATATGGCTTAACAAACAGTGGCATCAATGGCAAAACAAAACTTGATATGGTCGAATACACAATTATCTAACAAAGCTTAACAATTCTCGACTCATTCTTCTTCTACAAAAGAACATGTCTTTTAATATCATACAGCAATATTACAATTCAAATGAAGTATAAAACGATAAAGCAAGCTTATTACAAGCTTTGGAAATAAAATCAGGTATGTAATTGTGTCAGAAATTGTTCACAAACATCCTTTCTTCAAGCAACATTAACACCAAGCTAAGCTTTTCTCACTTTTACCATCTCTAAGCCTCCATAATATTAGGGCATAATACAAAAGTACTTTAAAAAGTTAATACTGTACACAGATGTTCATGAAATTTTAGGATTGGAACTAGCTGATCCTCAGTTGAAAAAAGGTTGGGAACCAAACACGCGTGTTTTCTTATAGCAAAGCCACATTGGGCTATCTGCTGTGTCCACTGAAGGGAATCGAACCCCTGATCCTAGCGTGGTAAATCCAAAGACTTACCAACGTCCCATCAGGGGATGGTTGGAAACTTTACACTAGCCTATGACTTCTTACGGTTGAGATATAGGCAATATATATAATATAATGACATCTGAGGTTATGAAACAGTGATTGGTTACAATCATTAAAACTACACCTGAACTGAAGTTAAAAGGTTCAAATTGGTACAGTTTTGTTCAAACTTATTTAAACCTTCCTTCTAGAGGCCATGAGTGTCATATTACACTCAGAAAAATTAAGGAAATTCAGAAGCTAATACTTTTGTTTGGAATGCATTGAAACCATCCTAAAATCAAAATTTATGTATAAATCACATTGATAAATCTTTGTTTTTTTTACTGAATAAGTTTCAAATGTAAAATATTAAAAAAAATGTGGAAGAATAACTATAAGCAAATTTTCTATAAATTTTTTAATTCAATGGTGCAATTTTAACTTTGAGAAACAAGTGCACACTACCAGAGATCACAAGATTAAGCATACTGATTAAGAATATGTACAAATCTTAAGCTTATTGACTGAGATGATGAACATTCATTTACCATACTGAGTGAGAACTAGCTGAGAACACCAACTAATCTATCATTTATCAACTTGTTTTATCACTTACAGTAAAGACATTCTTTTTTATGTTTTTACACATCTTTCTAAAGCAATTTTCGAACCCTAGCCATTCCATCTAGCAGAACAGAGCAAGCAATTGATGAGTAAGAATGACTTAGAAGGTATCCTAGCTCCACCAAGCTAGCAAAATAGGTCAGGAATTTGAAAAATGAGAATGATTTTGAAGATACAAAGTTACAGATTTCATATCTGCAATGTTTGGAAGTAAAGACACTGAAATTGGAAAACTTTTAAATTGTTATTGTGATGAAACACTTACCAAGTTGTGGGTTTATAATCACAGAGCCAAGAGGTAAATGATCAACACTAGGTATTGCCCACATGGTAGGCTGACTAGGATATGGCACCATGGAGTCAGAAGGTCCATTGGGATTGGTCCAAGTTAAGTGACTGGATATCTAAGAACAGTAAAATAAGTACAATGTAATTTCTTTTACCAAAGTTATATCTATCATTGACCTTGAAATAACCCTCAGTTGTTAAGAGTTTCTGTTCACTTCAACCATTCCTTCTGCTTTAGTACCAGACATTTATAGGAAACCTAACCTAAGGTAAAGAAGAAGCACATGCCTCACTACTTTGGCCACACACAAAAAAAAGAGCAAGATGTATAAACTTTTGGTCTTTCACTTTTTCAAAATGCTATTTATTTTATTTTCACCATATCCACTTTTATTATAAATTAGGCACAGTTTTATCTATAGTTTAAATACACCAAATATAAAAATATTACCACAAATACCAAAACTAAGATCTTAAACACAAGTTATTATATGCCATGGAAAAATTTTATTTGCTGATTAGACAGATGCACAGGAGAGTGATTTTTTGAGCCTTTGACATTAATTTCTGGGTGAGAGGTCCTGATGGAAAACAAATCTCTGGTGCTTTTAATTTTGTGTAAATTGTGTATCATAGCTTCATATAAAAACAACTTAAGATTAATATCCTAGCTAAGTAACACACTACCAGTCAAAATATATTCATGTGTAATGTTACAAATGTCTCAATAACACAAGCCTGTGAATTTAAACTTCATAAAAGTTGTTTTGGTTTTAATAACAGATTTTCCATAAATCAGCTATGCAGATTTTGAAAATAATATTCATTTTTTTTCTATCACGTAAACATTTTTTACAAATTGGGAAGAAAAAACTTTTACTTAGATCAAATTATTATTTTGTTTACCACAATGAACATCTTTTATTATTATGTTTGTTATTTTTGGGTTCTTGAATGATCAATAAGACTTATGTTGAGATTAATGTAGAGAAATCTATAGCCAGTGGTTGTTAACATTTTAGGCATAACAAAATGGGACCCGATTTCAACGAAAATGATTCACTTATGTAAAAGTACACATGATGTTTTGTGAAAAATTTGTACGTGATGGAGAAAAATGGATATAATTTTCGGATTCAGCGTACAGGAATTACTGTAGAAAATGTAAACATTTCAAGACAATAAAACCATCACAGGCCTGTGTTATTATAGCAAATACAGTTTAGTTTAGTGGATGGCAAATCTTAGATGGACCAACATAACAGTGAGCCTCATTACATTTACAGTACTGACAGTAGAATGAAGCCATTGGTTCTTTAAAATGTATATATCCAGTTGAAATGATGATATAAAACAACAAGCACCAATACTCACGACATTTCTACTGGTTAAATGGACTATACACAGAGTCATAATATTTAAAACTTTAGAATATGAGTAAAATTGAAATGTAACTATTAGCAAGCTCAAAAACAAACTGATGTAAATGTAATCCATAACTTATACAAAATATAAACAATCCAGCATAAGAAGACAATACATTTTAGTTACTGGCTTTCAGCTAATAGTAAAAAACAGAAAAATTTTTAAATGTCTATTTTTCTGGAGAACAACCAATTTAAAAGCATTTTAACATTAAAAACACTGTCCGTCAAGCCGTCTCCAAGCATTATTAAAAACACTGTGTGTTTCTTTACAATAAATCGCAAACTAACAAAAACTAAAGGAGCAAATTTATTTACCTGGTTGGTGGGAGATGTAGAAGTTTGTACAGTTACATATGGGAGAGTTAGGTTGACTTGGCTAGGAAAAGCTGACTTTGAAGTAACTGGTACATTTACAGATTCTAAAATGTTATAAACAAATCATCAATACTTTTAAACTATAGAGAATAATATGATTAATGCTAGCTTATGGTTATTATGAATGTTTCTAAGAAAGTAAAAAACATCAGCATAGGGGGGCAAAAATCCTTAAAACTATCATGCATACAAGTGCCATTTCTCTGCTACCAATATTTTGGTACATTTTCCAGAAATACTGAGTATTGGATATCTAACTTTCAAAACAAATTTTACAGTTCTATATTAATGACCGAAACAGCAGCCATTACAGTTAAAAAGGAAAGATGTTGGAACACCATGATTTTTCTAATATTATAAACCTGCTACCAATAAATAAATGCTATAAGATATGGAAAAGTAAAAGCAACTAAAGTGATAACACTTAAAAAAGAGAAAAAAAACACGTTTTTAAAATTATCACTTTTTACTACTTCTCAGGCAAACAGTATTCATTAAGCTTAGCTGTTCAACAGCAAAAAGCAATGAATAAGTACAACAAAAAATACCATGAAACGTGGGAAAACTAAGTGATAGCATAAATCATAAAATAATTAAATATTAGGCTTAGCTGCTGGAAACATAGCAAAAAGCATTAAACAAACAAAAGTTTTTGTTGTTTTTTTAAAGATATGTGTAGTCATTTATTATTATTATTACTTATTGTTGGATGCCACCAATAAAAAAAAAAGAATGGCAGCAGCACATTTATAGTGTACACTATTTTCATTCCAACTATACCACTTTGCTGTTTCTAAGCAGCAAGTTTCAACTGCTATACACTATTTTTTAAAATATTTTGGATTAGCTCTTATCCATTTATAAATTAAAGTCATATAATTCAAAAGTTGTGTCATGATCTAACTCTCATATCAGTTGTTGTGAAACTTTTCAATGATATAACAAAGTTTGTCTTTGCAATGTTAACTAGTACAAAAAAACCTTGGGCAGAAAAACATATTGTGTAAACTTTTACAATCTTTATGAATATTAATATTACAGTAATATTAATATAAGCTGTTCCATGTCCCTCATCCCATGTATCATATAGAGCAGATACTGTAGTCCATTTTTCACTAAAGTTGCAGAAATACCCATAGTTACAGAAGTGTAAAGATGGTGTACTACTAACGTGGCACCAAATACAAACTCAAGTAAAGTTTTATAAGACATTATACCTCATACAGTGATCAAGTACCTTAAAATGTATCTCACCTGACTTAAGTAATCTAGAAGAGGATTTCTTGTCAACTGGACAATCTCTTGTGAGAACAGATATCCCACCAAAACTACTAGCCTTTGTTACAGCTGGTTTGACTTCCTTAACTGAACAGATCATATCTTTCGTCTCAGATTCGGACTTTAACAATGAGATGTTTGGTGTCTTAATGGAACACTGGTTATTTCCCTGAAAATTCAACTTGCCATATACTACATCCATTCATTTCAAGTTTCTAACTCAAGCTTACTTACAAATATAAACATAACAAAACGTTAAGTGAAGTGTGGGAATTCTCCTCAGCAAATTATATTTTTAAAACTTCAAAAGTACAGAGGTATTTCAGTGGGTTAATATACAGTAACTGTACTTTAATTGAACTACCCAAATTCTACTATACATCTTCTAAAATCTACAGCTACATACAAATTAAAACCATTCTTTAATACGCATTATCCACATGGAATGAAAAGGACAGTTGTGACACACTATGTCACAAATGCTATCTTATTTGGATTTTAAAATACCTAGTTTCAAGTATACTTACAGCTGTATCAGACTGATCAAAAACCATGAAGTGACTTTAATATTATAACTTTAGTTTTTCAAACATAATGTAACAAATGCATTTTTATTCATAAAAATTGTTTCATTAACAAGGCGTGTAATGCATAAAAAAAAACATGAAAGTGAGTTTAAGTTTACTGACAAGTAGGATGCTCAAATTGGAACTTCACTCATTATTGCATGAAATGTATCAAAGTATCTTATTCAAAATGTAATTAAACTTTGTGAAGATGGATTTAATTTTAAGTCATTCAACATTAATCTTTAGCACTTTAGTGTAAAATGCTAGTACATCACTTCACAACATAACATTACTTTTTACAACAAATGGGCAAACTTAACTGGAAAGGAAGATAATAAGCTCCACAAGCTGTTTAATCCTTTACCTCATTGTTTGAAAATACTTGCATTGTCCATCTAAAATTCCAGCCACTCCTAATTTAGTGATATTTTGTGCATAATTCATCCTTAACTGAGGCACATTTACATGAACAAATTTCAAGAAGTGTCAAGTCTATGAGAGTTTTGGTATCAAATATTCAACTCTTCAAAAATAAAAAATTACAATTCTATGGAAACAATGACTTTGAAATTAGTACTCTACTATTTAAGTGGTAAACATAAATTTACTTTTCACGGCAGTAGTGCAATAGTTTTATTTATTTTAATTGTTCAGTTGTTTGAAATATTTCTGATAATTTTTTTACATTACTAAAAATAAACTGTCAAACTTGTGTCATAATTTTAAGTTTGCTCTATGCTTTCCACTTACTGTTTAGTAGCTAATAATATGCAGTAGCTAAAAAATGCAAAAAAGAACATGTCACTAAACTAATAACACAACTCACATAAAAAAAAAAGTATAGAAGTAGCAACACCAGTTACTTATAACCTAAACTACCACCCGCAGACCCAACAAACACACATACATCATGATGCATATTACTTTAGTACAAAAGCTAATCTATCTCACCAAGTAACAACAATAACTTACAACTGTTATAAATATAACAGACTACTGGTATTGCATTTCATAAAAAAAACAAGGATTTTGTATTTCTTCTTCTAACTGACATTCATGTAATGTTTATTTATGTTATCAAGTTTTAGTGTGCCGTAGATTCACAAGAGAGATATATTTAATGATAAGTTTAAACCTAACTTAACCATTATTTCTAATTAGCACCAATATAGATTTCTTAACATCTTGTACATACATCTCTGTGAAAGACTGAAGAAATTTTAGTTTGTTTTTATAATTTTTGTAAAAAGCTAAAAGAGGGCTAACTGCACAGAGCTGTCCTTAATTTTGAACTGATAGACTAGAGAGGTGGCAGCTAATCAAAGGCACCTGCCATCAATTCTTGGGGTTAGTTTTGCCTGACTGAATAGTGGGATTTGACCATTATTCTTACAGCATAATCACAGCCCAAGGTGATGAGCAATGAGATGTGAACCATGAATCTTCAGATTCACAGTCAAGGTGTGCTAATTATTAAGCCAAGCTCCAGCCTAAGGCAATTTTAGCAAGAGCAACCATACAAACCACATAATATATTTCACTTGAAAACCGGATGCAATATAAACATCCCTTAAATATTTCAACAATTTCAATTATAAACCTCAATGATCAATTGCTTATATCCTATATATATATATATATATATATAATAAGAAAGAAAATAACTTCTTTCTTTTTTGACAATTCTTACCTCAGATTCAAAGCTTCCTCCTACTTTGATTCCTTGTTGGTTAGGCCTTCCTGAGCTATCAGAGTCTGTACTGCTCCACGGTCTAGGTTCGCATGTCCACCTTATATCTTCCTGGCTTGAACTCTGCAGACCTTCTCCAATGTCTTCCTGTTATAATAAATTCACATTAGTTCCAAACTACTAATAAAATCTACATATAAACAAATACCCAACAAAAAATATTCATGTTTCCCTGTCCTCAGAGTGAGCACTTGTATCAATCCATAAAGTAAATGCAAGTCAAAAGCCCCCTCATTTTTCCCCACTCATTCTGTATGACTCACGAAGAATATTTCACCCTCCCAAGATTCTTGGATTGTCAAGGGATCTTAATACAAACAGTGGATTAATTTTTTTTCTGACACCTTAAGACTCCTCGAAGCAAGCACTAGATCTTAACCACTCTGTTTTTTCCAAAAATCAGTAAAAAACTTATAGTACATTCTGATACAGTAAATAAAAGTAGCAGACTTCTTTGTCAACATACAGTAATAGCTTTTACTTCTACTACGACTGGCTAATGTTTTATACTTCAATGACTTTCTGAATAAGCTTACAGTGCACCACGAGTTACTTTATCCTTCAAAGAATTTCTGATTTAAACTATAGGTTTGGAAAAGTATGTGTTTGCTTAATGTTGTATCATTATCAACTTTAAACAACTGAACACATCTCCAGAAGATTTTATTTATAAATTACCATATGATTTCACTCCACCATTTAGAAATTATAAATTGATTAAATTACATTTTCTAAACAGCATTACAGTTTTATTAATCCATGAACTTATAAAATACAACAGGGTTTGAATAGCACAACAAATTTATGTAAAACTCCCCTTGTGTTTAACAGCTATAGTGTAAACACTAATACAATTTTTTTTTAGCAGCACCTATTTTTAGGTTCCCATTGATTCTGAGGGATGGTTGTCTTGGATACCTCCATTGAACAGTTTCTTTTTGGCCATTATGATAAAACCCGAGACACTGCTTGTAAAAAACAACCTATTCTTTTCAATGGAAAAATGCTATTACAAATTATAGATCATGAAGGCATATATTAATCTGAAGATGAATATCACTTAGTGATCACATTACAAAGTTGCTCAAGCATGCTTACAACAGCCGTTTCTCTCAGACAACTGGTTAGATAATTTTTCTGCATATGCAAAAATCTAGCTAATAAAACAATCTAATCAGAATCTAAACAATCTAAGTTAGATACTTCATATAGAGCTAGGGAGGAGTTTGTTTGTTGTTAAGCACAAAGCTACATTTATGGATTATCTGTGCTGTGCCTATCACAGGTATCAAAACCCAATTTTTAGCATTACAAGCCCTCGGATTTAACTCTGAGCCACATTAGGCAGCTATGAATGAAACGTATATTACAATCAGAGAACCGTACTTTGGATAGTGTGTGTACATTCAGTAGAAAATACTATTTTAAAGTTCTTTTACATAGCTGAAAAGTTTGAAATCAGAACAATCTGTGTACTTTCAGCGATTTTAAAAATTAGATTCAGCACTTAGAAAACTTAGATCTGCCTCTGAAATATAATTTTATCATATCTAATTAGATTAGCAAAATAACTTACAACATCACAAAAAAAGCTTTTTTCTATCTTATTGCAGTTTCAAAGTTAGTAATTGCAAGTTTATCAGCAAATTAAAAAGCAGTGATGATAACAGGCTAAGAAATAACCCAACAGAAAAACTATTAACTCAAACTATACTGAACATGACATTCTGACAATACATGATGTTCCAAAACTCAGTTGCCACTGTAATATGAAAAAAATCAACATTGCTTTTCTTGTTTCTTTGCAAATGTTTTAGATACTAGCACTGAGTATTGTTGAATGTGTGATGGTGATCTGGACTGAAACTCTTCAGTACTGTATCAATTTTAAGAGCAGACATTCTGAGCATATTCCATGAACATGTATAGAGATTCAGCCTATTGCAACCAAATTTTGGGATAACCTGCACATATTAATCCTTTCCAGATGGGTCATGGGTGAAAAGCCATGTCATCGCGTTTGATG